TACACTTACAAACTAAAATGTGGAGTCACATAAAATACAAGGGTGCACTAGGGTAAGTTATGGAGTATTTACACTAACCCTCCAGGCCTCATGTATTATAATGAAAGCATTCTGCTGGTGTGTTTGACTTGGGGTGGGTGTGTTTCAGAAATGTCTACAAAGGTTTAATGATGACTGTGACGACCACCTAATAATATGTATTTTAAGAACTACAAATAATAAGCAACACAATTAGTGATTGTGCATCCTTTTGACCTTCATTTGGGGGATAATTCTGCCATATGCAAAAGACACTTTTCTATATTAATTCCTAAATATAGCTTAAATTTATGGTTTGTTCTTAGCCTGATGGTACATGGGAGCCACCATTTTCTGAGGAATCTTGCATCCCAGTTTCTTGTGGGCAGCCTGAAAGTCCGGAACATGGATTTGTGGTTGGCAGCAAATACAGTTTTGAAAGCACGATTGTTTATCAATGTGACCCTGGCTACAAATTAGAGGTATGCAAACAAATTGTGTTGTTCTGATATATTTGGGAATATTTTTAAAGATTTACTTTTACCATTTGTCTCTGTGTGTGTAAATGCCACGTGTGCACAAGTAACCACGGAGGCCAGCACAGGGTGTCAGATCCCTTGGAGTTGAAGTTCCAGGCAATTGTGAGCTTCCCAGTGTGGGTACTGGGAACCAAACTTGGAGCTTCTGGAAGAGCAGCAAGTGCCCCTAACTGCTGAACCATCTCTTCAGCTCCTGGAAGTGCACCCATGTCATGCAATGCTTGTGAAGGTCAGAAGAAGCTGTCAGAGCCCCTGGAACTAGAATTCAGGCTGTTGTTAGCCACCTTGTGGGTGTTGGGATCCAAACCCAGGTCCTCTACAAGAGTAGCCAGAGCTCTTAACCACTAAGCTGTTTCTCCAACCCCTGTTAATTTTTAATATTAGCACATTTATTTTACTAGCATTTGTCCTAAAACATCTTACTATATTTTGTTCTCTTATTTTGTAATGCTTTCCAAGAAATAGTTAAGATGACTTAGAATTTTAAAACAAAAACAAAGTATCAGCCAGGTGTGACGATCCAGTCTTGTAATCACAGCCACTCAAAGGTACAAACAGAAGGATAGCAAGTTCAGGGCTAGCCTCACAACTTATCCAGATTCAACCTCAAAATAACAGTACAAAAAAGGCTGGGGCTTTGCTGAGTATGGTGGCACATGCCTTTAATCCCAGCACTCAGCAGGCAAAGGGAGGTAAATCTCTAGGAGATCAAGGCCAGCCTGGTCTACATAGTGAGTTCCAGGCCAGCTGGGGCTACAGGGAGACCCTGTCTCAAAAAGAAAAAAATAGCTGGGCTGTAGTTCAGGCCCAGTATAAGCAAGGCTCCGAGTTAATCCCTTGTTTGAAATAAAAAAGGAAGTCTAAATTTTTTTAAGGTTAGATAAGGGAAAACGAAAGGAAGTAAGTTTTCCAAGCACAGAGATATCCTGTTAACTTCGGTCAACCTTCTAAATGTATTTTTGTTTGCTAGTAAACACTTTGTGACAAGGATATCCACCTGTCACTATGGTGCAGCACTTTGTGACAAGGATATCCATCTGTCACTATGGTGCAGCACTTTGTGACAAGGATATCCACCTGTCACTATGGTGCAGAACTTTGTGACAAGGATATCCACCTGTCACTATGGTGCAGCACTTTGTGACAAGGATATCCACCTGTCACTATGGTGCAGGGACAACAAGGATGTAATTATGTAAAGCCAGGACTTCCCAACAATGAGCTTCCAAATGCTGGCAAGTTCTTGCTTGAGGTGCCAGGTTCCGGTATGAATCCATCCTGCCTGAAACTCCTCAGAACAGTCCAAAGAAAATTCCAGCTCTATCCCTTAGACCACTCTTGGCTCTCACCTCAAAACCAAATCCACAGCCCTAAGTCTCCCTCTGGACTTTAGGCCCGAGTGATGCTGTTAATTACACTGAAAGCATTATCTTATCATCAAGCCTGTTTTAAATTACACAAGATTGTCATCTGGTTTTTCAGGAATCTCTTCTTTATTTTTATAGTGATATTTAAATACAGGTCTTGCGGAAGTATTCATTACTAAACATCTGTTAAATTTGTGTGGTGTGTCTGATTGTTTTGTAACTGTGAAATCAAAGAATTACCTTAAGAGAGGTCCATGGAGCTGGGTGTGGTGGCTCATGCCTTCAGTCCCAGGACTCAGGACCCAGAGGCAGGCAGATCTCTGTGAGTTCAAGGTCAGCCTGGTCTACATAGTGAGTTTCAGGACAGCTGGGGCTACAGGGAGGCCCTGCCTCAAAAAGACAAAAAAAAAAAGTAATAAGCTTGAACAGAAAGCCTCTTTTACTTCAGTCCCCTAGTCCTCTATCGATTTTCCCTGAGCAGTCACAGTAACCAAAGATGTCTTACGCACGGACAAGTGTGCATGAAAGCTGGAACTAGGCGTCTATAGATCTTGTTTTATTTCCTCAAAAGCTTAAGAAGATAAACATGAAAAGAAGAATAGCAAATGTAAAGACTGATTGTGACTGGAGAATAGTCCTGGTTTTGAAACTTTAGGTGTTCTTTGTGTGATAGTACTGATCCTGAAGTTTCTTAAGAAACTATTATGTACATTTTTAGAAACAAAATATACCACATACTCATAAAAATTGAAGAAGTAGATAATTTGACTTAAAAATGTTAACACCTAATGTTAACTACAAAACTGAAAGATGTATAAAAATAGCTGTTCTCATTCTGACCTACATGGTGAGTTTTGGTCAGCCATGCCTATTGATGTCACAAAAAAAATAGAGACAGAAACGTTGCAGCCTCTGGTTGGACATGCACAACTCCATTTATGAAAATCTTTTGCCCCCTCCTCAGAAAAAAAAATGACTTTAAATTTTATCAAGCTTCTAAGTCTGATTAACAGTATCAGTGACATCATGTAAAGCTACCAGCAAAAATGCTGTCTGTGGAAGCATCAACAGGACAGATTATCCAGTTTTCTAGAATCCGAAACAAATAAAGTAACAGGGAAGAAAGGAGAAAATGGAAGACTACAGACCTAGAGAGGTTTAGATTTTTAGAATATGTGATACATTGTTCTTTTCCATAGTCCTGCTACTGTGTAGGACTTTGCCTTTTTTTTCTTTTTCTTTTAATTTTTTTATGTTTTTGAGTGTTTTGCCTGCATGACGTAAGTGCACCACCTGAATGCAATGCCTGTGGAGACCACAAGAGGGAGTCAGATTCCCTAGAACTAGAGGGAGGTTATTAGCTGCCATATGCATGCAGGAAATAGAGACTAGATGCTCAACAAAAGCAACAAGCACTCTTAACCACTGAGCCATCTCTCCAGCCCCTGGGCTTTGCATTTTCAACAAGCATCCGAGATGCTGAAGGTCAAAGGCTGGGGAAAGTGCTTGGAACCAGGTCTTAACAGACTTCTGGGACAGGCTCTCTGCTCTGGTGAGTGTAGGATGCTGGGGACCTGGCCAGCTCTCCCTCAGCCTGTTTCCTGTGTTTACCCATCTTTGCTACATGACTTTGACAGCTGCAGGTAAAAGACAGAGGTGAGCATTGCCCTCTATTCATGATCCCAGTTTAACTTCGGGTAGGTATTATCCTTCACGCCTGGTATGTGCATTACTTCCAAAACCAAACAAAGCAATCAGGACATCTGATGTAAATTAAGTCATTCTACCATGCTGCCATTTGTGTGAGAGACAACTAACTTTGAAAAGCTGTTTAAATTTCAAAATGTTTACCATGGCTGCACAATTTTAGAAAAATTATATTAAAGTCAACTGAGGGATAAATCAAAATAAAGAACTCAATACTGCCAGGTGTGGTGACATACACCCTTAATCCCAGCACTCCAGAGGCAAAGGCAGGCAGATCTCTGTGAGTTTGAGGTCAGCCTGGACTACTTAGTGAGATCCAGGACAGCGGGGGATATAAGGAGACCCTGTCTCAAAAAAAAAAAAGAAAAAGAAAAACGACCTCAACACCATGATTGATAGTTTTTAAATCACTGCAAATGAATAATAAAATGGTTAGCACTAATAAAATGGTTAGCAATGCCGGGAGGGATTACTATACCAGATTTTAAGCTGTATTACAGAGCTATAGTCACAAAAACAACATGGTACAGGTATAAAAATAGACCTATAGATCAATGGAACAAAATTGAAGACCCAAATATGAGTAAATACAATTTCAGCCACCTGATATTTGACAAAG